AAAAAAAAGAAAAAGAAATCAGCAGGAATTCTCAGTAAAAAATAAAATTATAATGTCAAATATTAAAAAAAACCACAAGTTTGATGATTAAATTTAAGATTGACTAAAAATACCAAGATTATAGTGAATCTTTTCCTGCACATAAAGAACCTATTTGGAATAATCATTTCAATTTTAAAAGTATAATCTTACATCAAGCTTCTTAACCTTACAAAAATCTGCTTTTGCAAAAGTTTAATATATATTTATATGGGTATTTTATTGATGTAGAAATTATAACACAACTTCTTTATAGTGATATATTAGTCATTCCCTTTAAAAGTGAAAGATTAATATGTGCTTTTATGTAAAAATTACAATACAACTTATTTTTTTTGAGTGATACATTAGTCATTCCCTTTAAAAGTTTAATGTATGTTTTTTTGTGAAAACTGTAATATAATTTACTTAAAATTTACTTCTTTACAGTAATACATTACAGTAGTCGTGCAAAATAATTAATTATCTTAAAAGTGAATAATGATAAAGTGAAAGGGACCAAACAGTAAATTATAATGTCTCCAAAACAGATCATAAATGCAAGAAAAAACATTTGCAAATGTCTTTCAATTTGCTTCTAAATTTTGTTACAGATTTGGCATAAAATGCAGTTAATACTTAAGGAACTAAACAAATTTCACTGGAGGTCAACAATCCCCAAAGTGACCACTACAGTCCAAAGAGCACTCTATTGCCTTCAATAAATGTTAGTAACACAGACATTTGCAAATTACTATGGGCAGCCTGATAAATGGAGGTCATACCTGACAATTTCCACCCTGGTTGCGCATTCGGACTGCTTTTCTTTCCACTGAGGCTCATCCCAGTCTAGTTCATAGAACACAACCACCAGGGCTGGCACCAGATTCAGATGTTTATTCATCCAGCCAGTCTTTAAGATCCCTTTAGGAATGTACCATTCATACGAAGTTCTCTACAAATAGTGGTAAAAGTTAAGGAAGTGGTTTTTGTTTAATTTTTTTATAATAATAGCAGCAGAAACCACCTATTGGGTGCCAAGCAATGTTTGTACATTTATCTCATTCAATATGCACACTACCCATTTTGAAGATGAGAAAATTCAGGTTTACAAAAATTAAATAAGAGTTAGCAAGTGTTAGAAGTAGAATCTCAACCCTAGAAACATTACATTTCCCATTTAAGGAAGAATGACCAAAGTCAAAGAGCTCCTAATGATGTCTAGGATCTCAAGTACCCTGTAAAGAAGTATCCAGTCACTTTCTAAGCAAATTCTACTCCTATTCGTCACCATTCCGGTTTCTGTTTTTGAAAAAGCTGCTAAAATTAAAATATTGGCTGAAATTTAATATGGCTTCACTTATTTCAAAGATATATTGCCAGGAAAACAATTCACTTTACTTGTGGATGAAACATCATTCACAAGCTTGTTTTATATCACCAGCTTGTGGCATGGTTCCAGTTACCTAACACAAAGCAAGCACCCAAAAAGTGTATCTGAAATTGAACAAAACTGAAAAGACCATGGATTCTCTAACAATGATGTTATAGAATAAAGATATTCTATAATGATGAGAAAGATAAGACTTTCCTTTTAAGACTTCGTGAAATTTGTGGAGACATGGGGTTCTTTTTCTACAAATAAAAATGGCAAATGTAGGCTTATAGGTTACAAAGCTTTTAAATGTAATTATTCCTCTGGGTTTAAAAATTAACCATTAATAAACATATATATAGTATACTACATGGTACATAAAGATGCCTAAGGTTTTCTTTATACACCACTGTAACCACTGCCATGATAAACTTAGGGATTTTCCCACACACACAAGAACAAAAAATGACATATACACATACACACAGAGAGGGAGAGAATGCATACAATCCTAATGTCATTACCTTGGGTCTACATTTGGGATATTCATGGTCTCCTGGGAGCACCTTGAAAGAAATTGGTACCCGATCAGCTCTTCGATTGGCACAGAAAGCATCCCAGACAGCTCGATGGACAGCATTATAAACTACATCTAGTCCAGTAAGTGTAACAAAAGCCATAGGCCGACAACATAATTCCACAGGAAAGTCCCACTGTGTGGGGCTCATAGTTATGGTGCCACAAAAAAATCTGAAATACAAATGTTAATACATCCATAATTAATTTTAAAAAAACAACATCTATATAATACATGAATATCTGTCATTCAAAAATCATTACAAAAAACTGAAATGCTTTGAATGTCTGAAAACCATCAAGCCCATATAATGGAGGAAAGCAAAAGGTGAGTTGGATCTATTAAAATTATTATGTTAGATTTGTTTTTAAAAATTTCACATTAAAATAATTGTAATTAACTTTCAGATATATCAGTATTTTCAGTAATTTTTCAAAACATACACCAAACTTTGGAGTTAGCAAATCAAAAAAGAAGGAAATCAAAACAATAGGTCTACATTTCCTATTTCATATATAAGTAATAAAAGAAAAATAATTATTGACTTATATAATAAAGTATAACTTCCTCTAATTTCTCTGTAATAGATAACACCAAATTTTTCAATGTCTAGAATATTATTAATATAATATGCTTATTAAAGTAACAATTATTTTCTCATTTTCAAAATTTAATATAAAATGTACTATTTAAGGGAATATTTGAAAGAAAAATAATAATTAATGGAATTTGCTAGGAGGGTATGTCTCTATTATGCCATTTAGCTAAGACTATAATAAATCCAAGTATGTGCTGACTTTGGAAAAACACTTACATGAAAATGTGCTTTTTCCAAACAAAACTGCGATTTTTTAAAATAACCTCATTTTAAAAAAGAGATATCATGAGCTCCTTAAAAAACGTGATGTTTGGGAGCTGGGGTTGTAGTTCAGCGGTGGAGTGCTTGCCTAAGCACATGTGAGGCACTGGGTTCAACTCTTAGCTCCATATATAAATAAATAGAATAAAGACCCATTAACAATTAAAGAAGAAAGAAGGTGATGTTCACCAATATATCATACAGAACTCAGCATAATAGTGTGAAAAATGAGGTGCACTTATGCCACTACTTGATCCCTAAAACATGGAATATTTGTAACTGAAAAGTTAATTTAGGAAAGACTACTAAGCATCTTATGTTCATGTACTAAGAACAATGAACATTGAATAAATGATTTGGAAAGTTTGCCAGAAATGATAACTGTCTACAATATAAATTGCGAAATTCTTCAGATAGATATTTTTAAGACAGGATTAAGCTACAAGGGCAAAGATAAAATATGCTATAACTAGGGGGAATGAACACTAAAAAGAGGTAATCCAAATATAAGATATGTACCTTTGCTTAATACCAAAGAAGCCAGACTAGAGCTCTAAAGGTTAATTTTTCTTAATAATCCCAAACACTCAAAAGAAATAGCTGTCATCTTTGAATATGGAGTAAAAATAAAGGGAACTACAAATGACTTATAAAACTTTAAATCAATGCTGACCCAAGAGAAATATAATATCAGCCACACAAATAATTTAAAAATTTCTAGCAGTCATATTAAAAGTAAAAAGAAAAATGGAACTCATTTTAATAATATTTTGTTTAATCTGGTAAATCTAAAAACATCATGCAAACATTAATGCTATTAATGATATTTTGCATTTTTTTCTTCACTTAGTCTTGAAAATCTAATATTTTATATGCACAGCACATATCCATTCAAACTAGCCTATTTCAAGTGCTCAATAGCCACACGCGGCTATTGGTAACCATAATGGACAATGTAGCTCTAAATTATGGTAAATATTCCAAAATTACTATATGAAAACTGTATCATAAATTCCTCCCATATTCTACCTTAAAAGTTAGACACTTGAAATAATCATGCTTATTCTGAAACATAGTGATGGAAGAATGGGAAGAACACAGGTCAAGGACAAGTGCAGACCGAATGGATGTTAATGACAGCCAGGGGAAGAGAAATTTCCAGATATCCTGGAAGTAGCCAATGGGGCAACTAACCAAACTGACATTGAAAGGCATGCAGAAGCAGTAAATGAACGTTCTGGATGGAGGCCATGTAATGCAAGGGAAGTAATCTGGCAGCTAGCATGGAAGATGTAAGGAAGGTGATCCAATCAAAGTGGTAAAAAAAAAAAAAAAAAAAAAAAAAAAAAAGAATGTGATGGTTATTTTTAAATTAACTGTAAGTTCAGGATGCAGGACATATGCTATTAGAAATGGAATTCAGAAATGTCCAACTACAAAATGATCAAAATAAGAATGACAGTTTGGAGCCGAAATGGGGGTGGGGTGTGAAAAGCTGATTTGGGGATGTGAAGCAATACTATTCCTAAAAAAACTCAGGAAAAGATTGTGCCCTGGTAGCTCCAATAAGGACTGGAAGATAAATATCTTTGTAAGCCCAAAGGCAGACGAAATCTTTCTCTCCTACGACCACCCACCACACCTGAAAGTTCCTAGAAATAAGCGCGTTTCATTTCGGGGCTAACAGGGAAGTTCCAGGATTGACACTCCTTTACGCCTTAGGAAAACGCAGGCCCTCAAATCAGTACTGATAAGAGCTAGTCGTTTTTTCTCGGCCGTCTCGCCAGGCCCCACATATCTCCGGGCCCACACTCACCCAGGACGCACGCCCTGGGCCCGCAGTAGCTGTGGCCGGTCGCCGCCAGCAAGGAAAGGACGAGGGGAGGCAGGCAGGGGTGTCACAGACTGCCTAGAACAGTCCCTACGCTCGAAGCCCGTGAGCCGGCTCCAGTAGGCGAGACTTCCTTTTCCACACACACTGGCACAGGAAGCACTTTTTGGACCTGCATGACAGCACTCTACACCAATCGCAGTCCTGTATCTTTACGTTGCTCCTCAAAACGTCAGGAAGGCGCTCCACTTCCCAGAGGAGAAAGATATGGGGGCGGAGCCAATAGGAGCCAATAGGAGAAGCGGTAAGTGGGAGGGGGCGGAGCCTCTGCCGTTGCCGCCCTGCAGCCTCCTACTAGACGCCTGAGCGCCCCACCTGCCACGGCCTCGGCCTTCCGCCCACTGCCCACCTAGTCCTGCTGGGTACTGCAGACCGCTGAGTGTGCGCGTGAACTCGCGTTTTCGGCTCCGAAGGAGCTTACTCCCCACCCTGCTTACGCGGCACCGGAGGGGAACGCCCTGGCCTCGGGGCCGCTGCTCTTGCTTTTTCTTAGTTGTCGCGAACACTGTCCGCCTGGGAGGCGCCCGGCGCGATGAGCGCCAACGAGGACCAGGAGGTGAGTTCTCGGGCTGGACACTCTTTTTCCTCGCTAGTCCGTAGATAGGGCATCCTAGCAGCCCGAGGCCCCGCACGTGTGTCCTTCGCCTTAGAGCCCGGCTGAGATGCCCTTCCAGGAGGGGTCAAGTATGTGTGACTGGGGGAGGGTCCGCCTTGACCTCACCCTACCCGCATTTGTATCTTTGCAAACCTGACAATCTACCTAGGTTCCTTATTACCAAAAATGAGTGCCCTTGGTACCCGACCCTGGTGTGCTTGTCTGTCTTTATATCCCACGTTGCTTAGCGCTTGGGTCCTGAGTTATGCTGACTTGGAATCTGACCACCTTTAAATTTTAAAATGCGTTGGCTGGTAAAGAGAGGGTTAATTGAGTTAGCTAAATTTCTGGTCGGGGAAAATAATGACACTAGTGTCTCCAGTTTCTCTTCATACTGTCTAGTGAACTCATTTATCCATCTGTTAGTTGTTCAGTGACTACAAAATTTATTTTGAGTATATAGATACCATCTGAATTGTAGGGTTTATGCTTATTTTATTGTGAAATGTTTGACATTGAATCATTTAATAGAGTTGGAAGGGATGCCAAAGGTCGTCTGGAGGGGACTCTTCTAACTGTAATGTGTATAAATGAGGAAAGATGTCTATAGTGATAATGTGAGTGCCCCAGGCTGCACATTGAATATATGGTAGAATTAGGATTAGGACCCAAGTCTCCCTGGATAGTAGATTAGTAGTATTTCCCTGTCTATTTAGAATGGAGTGTATTACTTGAAAGTCAGCATTTTACATGATATCTAAATACCCTTCTAAAATATTCTTTCCAGGTGAGTTTCTAAAGCATTAATAATCCTGACTCCTGGCGGATGGGGGGATATGTTCCTAGGAAGAACTGGAGGAGGAGATGTTTAATCAATGGATACAGAGTTACAAGTAAATAGGAAGAATAAGTTATGTTCGGTTACACTGTASAGTGGCCATAGTTAACAATAGTGTGATGCATATTTAAAAATAGCTACAAGAAGGGATTTCAAGTGGTCTCACCCCTGAAGAAACAGTGAATTGGTAGCAAGAGAAACTTGTGGAGCCTTTCCGAAATCCAGATAGACTGCAGGAGTGGTGTTTTTCCGCTAATGAACCAATTGAATTACCTTAAGAAGGATTAGATACATCTTGTTTTACATGTACTTGCTAGGTTTTAAGTATTTCTTCTTACTCTCTTGGGCTGTCATATACTATTTCTTTAACAATTTATTCTAAAATTTTGTCCATGTAGATTAAGGTCATCATCTTTATTTTATAAAATTCATGACATGAAATCTTTTTTTAGAAAACTCAAACATTTACCCAAATGCATTCTTTCTTGCATCTCTTCTCAGGAATTCACCCGGTGCTCTCTAAAAGTGATTGAGACTTCTTTATAAAGCCATAGTATTCTAAGAAATATTTTCAGGCAAGAATTACTAGTTTCTTGTAGTCCTATCCTCTTATCTTGAGTAGATCCTGTCAATGTTTTTCTTAAAAGTTCTTGTGCCTTACCTGTTGTTTTGTTTTTATAGCTTTGTATCATTCTATGGAAAGAATTACAAACATAAATAATATATGTAAAGAGTGAGAATTTGTTTATGCTTCTTATTTTTCATCTTCAAGTTTAATACTTTCTCTGTCCCAGGCTGCTTTTCGATAGAATGATAGAGGGCACCTTCTCTGGAGTTGCTTTAAACCAAATCTTACATTCCTCTATAGTAGGAAGGAGGAAATCTGGTGATAGGATCTTCTTCACAAGATTGATTTGAGAATTAATTGAGAAGACACAATGTAAAATGCTTAGCGTTGTCTAATACATAGTTTCAAAGTAAGTATTTTCAGTGTGATTGTGATTTGTTGGTATGTACACATATATCATCATCATCTAAGTTCTTATAAGTTAACCAATTTTATGTAGTTGAGTGGGCTTGAATCAGAAGCTAAATACCCTACATTTAATCCATTTATACCACTAATCCTAACTCATTGATTTTCTTTCAGATGGAACTAGAAGCATTACGTTCTATTTATGAAGGAGATGAAAGTTTCCGGGAATTAAGTCCAGTTTCATTTCAATATAGGGTAAGACATGGCATGAATAGGTATACTTATTGCTTTGCTAGGAAAAAAACAAAGATTGCTAAAATTGCTGATTATTTTTTTAAATTTAATGTTTTAAATTTATTACATCTTTGTGTTTTCCGAAGCAGTTAAATAGAAGATTCATCACAGTGACGTTAACCATTCTTAACATTTTGAATTTAATTCAGAATCTATTTTAAAACCAAGATAACTTATTTTTTTATTGTGCCAGAATCATAAAACGTTAGACATGGAGAAACCTTGGAAATTATATGGTCTTGCCTTCTTAAAGATGACTTCTCTCCATTTAACTTCTAAAGCTCCTATAGCTGATATTGATAAATATTAAGGTGAAAATCCAAGATTATATTCCAGGTCTGGTGTGCTTTTTACTACCCTATGATATAGTCAAGAAAGGGTGATATTTTTTTAATTCTGCATTCTAAATATGTATGGATATTTAATATATGTAATGGACACATATGAAACATTTTTCTTTGAAATGGGAGTTGCTTGTAACTTATCAACATAAAAGAATGTCATTGTTTTATGTTGTAAATAAATATAAACAAGTTATCCAAGAGATTACAAGTAATAAAAGATTTATGGCTATTATGCACATTGCCACCATTTAAAATAAATTACATAAGAAATGATCTTTATATATGATTTTATTGTAGATGATCACAGGAAGTAATTTCCTTATAGTTACTTCCTTTGGATGCTCTTTTCTCTGCTCAACAGTTCTCATTTCCCTTTCAAGTTTATTATTTTATTACCATTTTCATGCACATAGCAGCCAGGAGACTTTTTTTTTTTAAATGAGAGAGTATTTTTTTTTTCAATTAATGACGAAGACACTACAGTTCTAAATACCAGACAGAATCATGGAGAAATTTTTAAAATAAATTTAACACTACAAAGAAAACTTGGAAAAGTATGACACTTCTAAATAAAAAATATATAGCTAGCTTCAACCGGGGTTTTTTTTTAATAGCCAAAATTAAAAGTGGAGTAACATCCTAGGTGCTTCTGTTGAGTCCAGCTGCCTCCTCAAACTTTATTAACTATTGTCATCCTCCTCTTAGTGAATGGGAAAATTTCCCTGTACTTTCCTAAATGTCTCCATTAGTATCAGTTATTTATTGAGCACTCAGCACCATATGCAGAATGCTCTAAAATCTCAATCTACTATCTCCAATCTCATGTGTCATTCCTCTTCAATCCATCCTTTGTACTATAGAATGGATGTTGACAATCAAAGGAGATAAGTTATTAAGTTCTGCCAGTGCCTGAGTCAAGCCCTTCAGTTCTTATATAGAATGATTTAGAAGGCTCCTAAATGACTGACTTTCCTACTTTCAGTGGTCCTCCAACAGATAGTCATCTCATTCCCTTTTTGAAAAGGATTCTCCATGGATCCTTCACCTATATAAAAAATGAGAGCTAAATTCCTTAGCTTGACACTCAAAAGACTGATTTGAAATGCCTCTCTAGACCTTCCCAGCTAATAACATGTATTAAACATAATAGATTGTTAAATATTTTCCTGAAGTTGTTTTTTTTTAAAAAAAAATTATGTTTTTTAATACATTCTTTGCTCTTTCCCTCACCTCTTATCCATTATTCATCTGGCTTTTCCTTTAAGGCCTAACTCAAGCTGCTTCTGATATATTTGACCCATGTCTCCTATTTCTGCCCTGACTTTGAAGCAAAAGTAACCATGCTCTTTCTACCTTGCTCTATTTCTTTTAAACTAGTATACTATAATTTAGTGAGTCATCTAAATGAGCTATCTTCCTTAAAGACATGAGTGGTGTTGTCTTTTTTTTTTTTTTTTATCTTCAGTATCTATTTAGCATAATATGAGACATGTGGCAATTTATTCCTAAGGATACCTGGAGTAGGGACTTAGTGATGGCAGAAAGCAAGTAACTTTTATCACATTTTAATTATCTTTGTATTCAAAACAAGCATAAACTGATGGCATTATTGTGCACATAATCAACTTATACAGGTATATCAATAGATTCCTACATTTATTTGATACGATTTCTGAGGCCCACCTTAGATTGGTATGGAATATGATTAAGACTAAAGGGAGTGAGGATAAAAAACTAATGTAAAGAAAATAAAGGTGAATCAAGTAATAATTCAGTTGAAAAAAATTTAATCTTATTGCTATTTAAAATCAATATTTTTAGGGGCTGGGATTGTGGCTCAGCGGTGGAGCGCTCACCTGGCATGGGCGGGACCCAGGTTCCATCCTCAACACCACATAAAAATAAAGGCATTGTGTTGTCCATCTACACCTAAAAAAATAAATATTTTTTAAAAATTAATATTTTTAGAAACAAATAGAACATATTTTTTAGAAAAGCTACAGAGAAGGTGCTGATTCATGAACTATCCCATGGTATTATTAGAAAACCACCATGTTGCAACCACCAGTGCAATAATTGATTCAGGCAAGATTATTAATGGATGCTAAAACCTTGAGGTAAAAGGTTTTTGAGAAACAAGGTATTCACACAGTTTTGAAGTATTATTCACAAGATTGCTTGGTTACAAAATGAAAAGGTGCCTTAACAGTGAAGAGATCTGGAGAATATCACCTTAACCAAGTGATCAAATTTAGGATCAGTAGTGATGATTCCAGAAGATCTTATGAGCCTCCCTAGATGATGCTAAGAGAGTATGTCACATCATCTATATAGTATCCTTATCAAAAATGTTGAATTTGAGGCGAGGATGTGGAGAAAARGGTACTCTTGTACATTGCTGGTGGGACTGCAAATTGGTGCGGCCAATTTGGAAAGCAGTTTGGAGATTCCTGGGAAAGCTGGGAATGGAACCACCATTTGACCCTGCTATTGCCCTTCTCGGACTATTCCCTGAAGACCTTAAAAGAGCATGCTACAGGGATGCTGCCACATCGATGTTCATAGCAGCACAATTCACAATAGCTAGACTGTGGAACCAACCCAGATGCCCTTCAATAGATGAATGGATAAAAAAAATGTGGCATCTATACACAATGGAGTACTATGCAGCAATAAAAAATGACAAAATCATAGAATTTGGAGGGAAATGGATGGCACTAGAGCAGATTATGCTTAGTGAAGCTAGTCAATCCMTAAAAAACAAATACCAAATGGCTTCTTTGATATAATGAGAGCAACTATGAACAGAGCAGGGAGGAAGAGCAGGAAGAAAAGATTAACATTAAACAGAGACATGAGATGGGAGGGAAAGGGAGAGAAAAGGGAAATTGCATGGAAATGAAGGGAGACCCTCATTGCTATACAATATTACATATAAGAGGTTGTGAGGGGAATGGGAAAATTAACAAGGAGAGAAATGAATTACAATAGATGGGGTAGAGAGAGAAGATGGGAGGGGAGGGGAGGGGGGATAGTAGGGGATAGGAAAAGTAGCAGAATACAACAATTACTAATTGGGCATTATGTAAAATTGTGGATGTGTAACCGACGTGATTCTGCAATCTGCATTTGGGGTAAAATTGGGAGTTCATAACCCACTTCAATCTAATGTATGAAATATGATATGTCATGAGCTTTGTAATGTTGTGAACAACCAATAAAAAAAATAATAAAAAAAGAAAAGAAAAAAAATGTTGAATTTGAATCTGTATAGAGGAAACAGTTCATATCTAGCTAGAAAACTAGCCTAGATTCTTATAAAAGACATTTAAAAAGCCGGGGAGAGTGCTGGGGACTCTTCTAAATGATCCTTTAATGAATTATATATTTGTGGGTTAGGGTGATGTCTATTAAAGGATATTTTAGATATGATTGGAGAATTTTTAACATGAATTATAAATTAGGTAATATTTTTGTATCAATGTTGACTTTCTTAGGTGTGATAATGGTCCTGTGGTTATAAAAGAGAATGTTCTTAGGATACTTTACCCAAGTATATTTGAAGACATTACTTTCAAACTGTTCAACAAAAAAAAGGGAAAAAAGGAAAAATATCACATATGTTAGGAGAGTGGATAAAAAGGGAGAAATAAAGTAAATGGAACAAAAAGTACTTAGTAAATAAATTTCAGTGAGCATTCATTGTACTATTTCAGTTTTAAGATTATAATTTAAAGAAAAACAAATGTTGGGGAAGCAAAAGAAACAAAAGACATGCTTAAATTATTCAGGAATTACTGTCCAGCCTAAGGTATTATTTTTCCTTACCCATTTCTTTCTCTCTCAATTTTATATTTCATTTTCTTATTTCTTGGAATTGTGTGAATGATATACAAATAATTGTATTTTAATTATTTGTTCTTCTTGACTGTTGTGATGTCATAGTTAGAAAACTTGAGACAAAGATGAATTTCAGTTTGTGGATTATTATTTTTGTCCTTTTTTTTGGCGGGGGGTGTATCAGGGATTGAACCCAGGAGTGCTTACCCACTGAGCCACATCCCCAGAGTTGTTTTTTGTTTTTTTGTTTGTTTGTTTGTTTTGTTTTGTTTTGTTTTTTGAGACAGGATCTCACTAAGTTGCTTAGGGCCTTGCTAAATTGCTCTGCTGGGGCTGGCTTTGAACCAAGGATCCTCCTTCCTCAGCCTCCTGAGCTTTGGGATTACAGGCTTATTCTACCATGACTCCCCGTTATCTTCTTATTCCCCCAGTTGATGTCTTATCTTCATTCCCAGCAAATTTGGTGGAAACCAAAATTTTACATAAGATGTGGCCTTGGTACTAGAAAAGCTGATAGACTGATAGAGAGACCATGGTCATAAACTACACCTGTTAATGTAGACTGGGACTAAATTAAAAGTTAGACTCCCTTTATATTCTCCTTTGCCCCGCTCAGTCTTAGCCTACACCCATGAACTTTTCAAAATATTACTTTTCTGATCTGAGCATGAGTATTGGAAATAATTAATTATTTTAAAGATCATGATTTAGCACTCTGTCTTTTTATCACTTTTCACAAGCCTAAGATTTCCCTTTTCTTCAGATAGGTGAAAATGGTGATCCCAAAGCCTTCTTAATAGAGATTTCCTGGACAGAAACATATCCCCAAACACCTCCAATTATATCTATGAACGCTTTTTTTAACAACACCATGTGAGTAGTTTTGTTTTCATTGTTTTTTCATTTCACTCTCTATTTTACTCTCCTCTTAACATGTTTGTTCTGCATTGTAGATCATCAGCTGTAAAGCAGAGTATATTAGCCAAGTTACAGGAAGCTGTGGAAGTGAATCTTGGAACTGCTATGACCTATACATTGTTTGAATATGCCAAAGACAATAAAGAGCAGTTCATGGAGAATCATCATCCCATTAATTCTACAGTGAGTATGTGATGATTTTTTTTGCAAGATTCTTTTGTTGTTTTAGTTTTAGCCTGCTATTGATTAATTTTAGATCCTTAATATTTTTTTTTTAAATTGGAAGCAGACTTCATCAAAACTAGAGTACTTATTTTCATAAAACTGGGATATTGTAGAACCTAGTTTTGTTGTTGTTGTTAGGTTTTTTGGTTTGTTTTTGATTTTGATTTTTGGAGTACTGGGGATTAAACCCTGGTCCTTAGTGCATGCTAGACGAGCTGTCTACTAATAAGCCACATCCCCAGTCCAAGAATCTAGTATTTTTAAAATTTACTTAATCTCTTTATAGAACTTAGATTAGCTAAGTTTTTTCTTATGTAGCACTAAAATATGTATGAAATTGATTTCTCCATGAGACTTATTTTTTAAATAGCTTTGTCATAGTTCAATTTGAAGGTGTTACAGCTTTAGGAGACCTTAATGAATAGAAAAAATAATGAATTTATTTCTAGAATAATTTTAGGAAATAATCATCTTTATGCTTTTTGCATCAAGTCTTGCTTGCACTGAAAGACTTTCAGTTGTCACCATTAATTGAGTTGTATCCTGTGAACAATACTATAAGTTTTTTGGCAGCAAAGGCCATGTTTTCTACTTGAATGGTTGTGGCTTCCACATTCTCAACAAAACACATAGAAGAAAACTCAAAGACAAATGGAGGAGCAGGAGAGGTTAGTAACTGAGCACATGGGCCTAGGGCCAGCCTGCCTGAGTTCAGATCCTCACTTAACCACTTATTAACTCTGACTTTAGGCAAGTGTTTTAATATGTCTATGCTTAGTTTCTCACCAGCAAAATGAGGATTATAATAGTATCTACCTTATAAAATTATAGTAAAGATCAAATGAGTGGCATGTAAATCATTTATAGCTGTGGTTAACTCCTAGAAAGCATTGTAAATTTTAGCTATCCTAAATACTGACCATATGAACCCAAATGTTTTAAAGATTTTCTTCAGGGAACCAGGATGTTTTAAGTAGGTACATATTTAACTTTCCAAATAGTAAACGTTAACCAAACTGTAAATCGGTCATGGAACCTTGTGTCTTTAACATAATACATATAATCAAATCTTCCTTCTTAGGGTTTTGGTTTTAACTCTTGCACTTAGTATTAAGTTCTTTGATGTGAACTACTGAGTGAAACCAATAATGTGTTAAGGGTACCCGATTTAATAAATGGGATTCTTTCATTTCATAGGTCTAGAAATTTTAAACCTTTTTTGGATAAAGCTATATTTAATGTAACTCAGTAATAAGGTTGGAGTCTGAGAACTGTTTCTTCTTCTAAATTTTTTTTCAGACATCTATAAGCAATATCATCTCTGTTGAAACTCCTAATACAGCTCCATCAAATAAGAAAAAAGACAAAAAAGAACAACTTTCTAAAGCCCAGAAACGTAAACTGGCAGACAAAACAGGTTTGTGTTATTTTTTGTCTTTTTATAACACAGATAAATGGGTTGCTTTTTGGCATGATATGGATGCTTAATATATTTAGATTTAGAATATTAATTCTCTATTCTTTGTTCTTGGAACATTTAGATCAGAGACTTCTTGGGTCACAGGAATATTATAGATATTTAATGCTACTTTATCACAAGAGATAATCATTTGAAAATAAGATCACTGAGTGGCAAAGTAACTATAAATGAGTCTGAAGATGAGCAACATTAGAATAGTATGGAAAAATGTATGTCCCACTTGTACACTCTAGCATGTTCGGGGTTTTCTAATTTACCTTTATGGCACATGTACATAATATTAAAAACTGTATAGAATAAACCTTTCTCTTGAAATGAAGTCTGATAATACCATTAAATCTTAGCATTGTAAATAAATAATTTAATAATTTTGTATATAGTTAACTTATTTGTACAACAACAATAAGATTTAAGAACAGAAATCCCATGTGTCCTAAACCAGAGTCCTTTAGAAAAGGATTATAAACTTCTACAATACACTTGATACCTTTACTTAACTTGGAAATTTGCAAATTGATATCAGTCTATAAATTTTTCCTGGTTGGGAAAAATGTGAACACTATCATGCATACACATTTATACTTAAAAATCTGTGCACTACTGGTGTAAGGTTATAAAATGCTCTTTACTAAAAACTGATCCTTTTATTTTGATGAGGGGGTTTAAAATTCTCTTGTAATATGATTGGTGGTTTATGTTTTATTTAATGTCTATCTATGGCAGAATATAAATAAAGCAACCCTGTGTTAGTCCTCAAAACTACATTTTTGAAATTGTAATGGTTTGTGAAATAAAAATCTAGGCATCTGTTATACCTCATGTCAAAGCAGCATTAAAATATGAACAATGGAAACAATACATTCTTAACATGTTATGGTCTGTTTTCTAGAATTTTGATTACTATTTTTTTGCAGTGTTTTCGCATTTGTGTCAATTACCTGTTACTTTCAAGAAGAATGACCTATGATCCCTTTTTTTCACTAATATCTCCCAAACTTCATTCTCTTTGATGATATCCACCTAAATTAGTTGTTTTCTCCTTATAATGGCAATGTAGCAATTAGTGACTTGAAGCTTTCATTCCTAATAAAATTTTAATAGAACACAGCACTGTGAGTAAGGTATAATTAACCAAAATTAGTGACCTTCCACTGTGTACCTCATAACTAACAACCAGTAGGATAAGATTCTTATTGGCATGAAAGAGAAAAGAACCATTAGCATCTAAAATTGAGCTCCAATAATATTGCCTCTTTCCTATAAGAATCCTGGGGTTAGGAGGATAAAGTCATACTCAGTGGTAGAGCACTTGCCTAGTACATGTAATGCACTGGGTTCAATCCTTAGCATCACACAAAAATAAATAAATAAAATAAAGGTATTGTGTCCATCTACAACAACAACTAAAAAAAAAAAAAAAAAGGAATCCTGGGGTTATTTGCTTTTTCACTTGCTGTAAAATTAATACAGGTTGAGTATCCTTCATCTAAAATATTTAAGACCAGAAGCATTCAAATTTTGGAATATTTGTGTAGTTATCAATTGAGCAACCCTATTCTAAAAATCCACAATCTGAAATGCTCCAAAATCTAAAACTACTCAAACAGTTTCAAATGTTGGAGCATTTTGAATTTCAGATTTTTGGTTATGTATGCTCAGTCAGTATTATTTTTAATATAGACTTTGATGGCTTCATAAAATGAGATATACATAGAACATACTTGAAGCATAAAGGAAATCAAGCCATTTGAATTAAATAATTTTTAAATAGTATTGATTGTTTTGAACTTGTGTATCAAAAGAATAAAAACACCTTATAAACTATGAATTCTTCTGTAAGTTCTTATGAACTTACAAGTATACTCAATAGAAGAATTATTTAAATAATACTTTATCAGAGCATAACCAATTTTACATAAATTAACCAGGCCTCTTCTTAGTCTTGAAGCCACCCATATGTTTGTGAGACCTCCTGTGTTGGCCTAACTTCCTGGTGTGAAATGCTCATTCATGAAACAGTGAACTAGCACAACTTCTTACTTAATAAGCAGGGACTTTATATAAAGAAGAATTCTGCAATCCATGAAACTAATAAATTGATTCCAACCCACCTGCGTATTTTTCCTTAATAATAGGGTTTTGTCTTGAATGGAAACAAAGTAAATGTAAAAAGGGGATATACATCAACTACTTTGCAAAAATTCCCAGGAGAATGGTGCTTTCAACTCACAAAGATGATAAACTATTTTTATGACTTAGAAATATGGGATTTAAACCTTGAATCTATTTGCTATATATAATGTACAAAATCATATTTGTTAGAAAATTTGGAACTAGCTGAGTCTTAGAAATACAAATACTCTATTTTATTCTTCAGATCACAAAGGGGAACTTCCTCGAGGCTGGAACTGGGTTGATGTTGTGAAGGTATATAATATTTATATTCTCGTCTTCAAAACTGTTACAGTTATTGCCATCAATTAATGAAATTTATGTTTTCAATTCCTACCCTCTCTGCAATCTTTGGAATTTCCTGGGATGTCTGTTTACATTCAGCATGTAAGTATTTTTGAAATATCCTTCGTTCTTGGCTTCCTAATATCCTGAGTTTTAGATGTTCTTTTCTTAAGTATTGCAAAGTCTACAGAAGTAAGTTATTGCTACAAAAAGCATGACTGTTTACATAAGTTTATATCAAGAATGGACATGCTTATAAATGACTTTAAATTATGGATAATATGGAAACTGAAGAAAAAACCAGTCATGGAAAGGAATGTTTCAGTTTTATTTTTAAAGACAGACTATAAATGTAGTTGCCCATCATTAGCAAAAAAGATTTTCTGGATTTGTTGCTTAAAATTGTTTACATTCTATTTTTAAATTCCTCAAATTTGTCTTGCACTTTCTAGTTTCAAATATATTAACTTACATTTAACACAGTAAGCTAGTTCTCTTTGTAGGACTTCATGAAATAAGTTTTGCATGGCAATTAGTCCACAACTGCTGTAAGTATTTAAAAGTAAAGATTAGGGTTTTAGTGAGAACCCACAGATATGAATAATTTACAAGCAGCTTATTCTTTTTTTTTTAACAAAACAGAATATATGTTCATCAATCAATAGTGACTACTCTCTTTTTAAAAATATCTTTATTATTTTTATGTGGTGTTGAGGATCAAACCCAGTATCTCACACATGCTAGGCAAGGGCTCTACCACTGCTCTACCACAACCCCAGCCCCAAGCAGCTTATTCTTTTTTTTTAATTTTTATTTATTTTTTTTTTAAAGAGAGAGTGAGAGAGAGAGAAAGAAATTTTTTTAATATTTAGTTTTTAGTTTTCGGCGGACACAACATCTTTGTTTGTATGTGGTGCTGAGGATCGAACCCAGGCCGCACGTATGCCAGGCGAGCCTGCTACCGCTTGAGCCACATCCCCAGCCCAAGCAGTTTATTCTTGAAGTTTATTTTAAAAGCAACTATTTGGCCCATGAAATGTGTGTTCTATAGAAACTGTTTAATCTTTGTATGTCTAGATATAGGGGAAAGTTTTTTTTCTAAGAGTAGGGAGCCGTGAGGTGCAAAAAGAATAAAGATACACAATATATCTTCCTCCCTTCCTGGGCTAGAGGCTGATCTCATAGATAATTCCATTAAGAAAAGGCTACACTGACATTGGCTCATTATCTTTCCTTTGATGCTTGAGAAATACTTCATGTTGTCCTGCATATAGCTCGCCATCTGAACACATTTTCTCCCCAACATGCTCTGTGCTCTAGAATGATCTGTTTTCTCAGTCAGATGCTGATTCCCTAGCACAGCAGATCTCAGCTGAAAGTGAGAAGAAAAATAATCTGATTTATCTAAAAGGGAGTGATAGTGCTCCTCCTTCCCTAGCTCCAAAAGCTGTTTTTGAGAGAGTCCCTGATAATGTAAATAAAATTCCAAGTTTAAAAAAAAATAGTAAAATTCAAATAACCCAATAATCTTGGGAGATGGAAAACATTTTTTAAATTGGTGCATTATGATTTAATGGTGGGATTCATTGCAGCATATTTGTAAATGCACATAACATAATTTGATAGCTTTGTTCCATAGTATTCTTCCTAGGAAAAGATATTTTTAAGCCAATTACCTACTAGATAGTTTGTTCCCAGAATCTATTACTTTTAGCCAGTAGTTTACAAGTGTAATTCCTGAGATCATATCAGGTGGTATGCAAGGTCAAAACTATTTACATCACAACTTTATGATGTTGTTTGATTGTTTTATTCATTTTCTCCTGAGAGTTCAGTAGCATTTGGAGCAGCTGCGTGAACTGTGATGATGTCATCACTAATGCTCTATTAAATCACTAACAGAATGTGTGCTTTTTATATTCTTATGTTTTCCAAAAATTTCTCAGGTAGTAAGTTTGGAATCTAACAGTGTATGTTATTAATTGGGCTGTTCTTGATACTTTTGTGTATTGTCTTTCATGGTATCTTCTTTACTATAGAAAGAAATTTGTGAGACTCTCCAACCAGCTTCTATTGAGCTAGATAATAAAGAGATTTGTAAAAATGTAAAACCAGCCCCACTCTTAAATATTAAGTTTGGTTTGTTTCAGAAACTAGTTATATTTCCTTAAAAAATGTTATTGGGTTATATAATGGGTTTATTTTATTTTTATGTGAGTGAAACTTCTTGGTTTTAATTTCAAATGCAGTAAGTAAAAACCCACACTTTAAAAAAAAAAAAAGAAGAAGAAGAAGAAGAGCTTTTAGGGGCCTCAGTGATTATGTGAAGAGTTTTGAAGTGTTGAGAATCACTACCCTTAGTAGTTTCTCCTTTTCACAGCTTCCCATATTTGTGAGAGTTATTGGGTACACGGGTTTCTCAGTGACTGGGTAGCTATTCTAATCAGAATTATTTTTGTATTACTTGAGAATTTTCTCTGCCTCACCCCCAAATTTACCAACTCCTACCAGAGATTTATTAGAATAGAATTGTAATTTAAGATATTTTAATGATGCTTTCAAAATTACACTTTAAGAATTATTTGGTTAAAATGTCTGTTGGGCTGAGGATGTAGCTCAGTGGAAGAGCAAGGACAGAGCCTTGGGTTCAATCCCCAGAACTGACCAAAAAAAGAATTTATTGTCTTGATAGAAAACAAAAACAGAATGTCATTTCTTTTATAAATGACACCTTCTATTTGTATAATCTTTGTTCTAATTTATTTTTATCTTGGCAAGCTCCAAGGAATATTTTTTCCTCTTGTTCTGTTGAGGTTATATATTTTTGTTGAGGATATGTTTTTAAACCTGTCTGAAGTAGCTAAGCCTATGATAAAAGCCATAGATATTTTAAAATTCAAGTTACTTGAACCTTAAAAGTAATAGATTCTGTTTGTTTGATATTGAATGGAAATAATGACTCAAATACTATGATTGCTTAAAGTTGTTGCATATTTCTTTTATCTTTTTTTTTAATAGTTAAGCAAAACTGGCTCTAAAGATGATGAATAATACTTGGAATTTGAGACAAGGAAAGAGCATCCTTTAAAAAGTAAACTATGTTCAACATCATTCATTAACTATTTTCTGGTATTAAGGTGACTTTTTATAAAATGCAGGTTTTTTTGTATGTTTCTTACATTAAAAAATGTTGTCAGTGGAAAGTTCATKAAAAGATCTGGTTGTATTACATTATTTTCACAAACTTGCCTTAATAAAAGGTGAAATGTTACTGTTTAGTATACTTTATGAAGCCTATTAAGCTTTATAAATGGATAAATATGGGAAATAATAATCAGTGTTAATTTGTATGATCTGATTGTAGTGGCTATGAGCCCTTTTCAAATGTCTTCCCAATACAGCAGAATTTTACATATACAGTTATTCCGTAGTTATTAATTATAGGTTTCCCATCTTAAAGTCTTCATCTCTTCTTTTGCTTAATCACTGAAGCATAAATTGCTTCAGAGAAATTTAAATACCAGTATTTAAACTTTTTATGAAACTCTTTGTAGTTCCTTTTTATTTTTCAATGATGAACTGTTTCCCTTTAATAAATTGGTATCTATTTATACTTTTCTTTTGATTTGGGTCAGGTGTTTGATCATGAGAACTTTCAATGACATGTGTAATAGGAGAATATAAAAACAAACCTGCCAAATACATTAGAAAGCATTTGAATAAATGCTGGCTCTTATTTAAAACATTTGCTGCATATAATAGGATGGGAATAAAAGATGCCTTAATATTTAATTTTTGTATTGTTGGGGACAATGATTTTAATAAATTCCTATTTATCTGCTATTGTGGTGTTTTCGTTGTTAGATAACTGACGTCTAAGTGGGTTCAACATAAAACCACATTTCAGGTCTTGTTATTTTTATAGTGTCTTCGAATATCCAAATGTATTTCTCAACCTCTGCATCTTTTTAATAATATACATAGAAGTCTTTCAAATGCTGAACTGTTACACATCCTTGATTTTTTTAAATCATTAATAGAGGAAACTATTGGTATAGTTTTACTAAGGAAAGAAGTTATTGATGTTTATGTGTGATTTATAGTGATTTCCTATATGCTCCCCAGCATTAAGAACACTTAGGACTACTGCCGTATATCTGAAAGGGTAGTTTGTTAGTATGTGAAGTTATTCTGCAGGWTTAAAGAATAATTAACTTCTAAAGAAATTACCTTAGCATAAGARCARTTTGAGATGTTTCTGTGGTTTTTACTGTTAAATTTGCCATCAATTAAATCATTTGAATTATATAGYAAGTATAATTATAGTGAAAGAATTTAATCTCATTTTAAAAGTGGAATCACATTTTGTTTCTTGAATTAATATCAAAATTGAGGACCACTAGAATTTGACAACTTTTGTTTTTAGGGTTGTGTATGTGTAGTTTTTGTTGTTGAGTAGATTTGTTTGCTCATTTAAAAAAAATTTGGTAGTGGAAAAAATATTTTGTTTTGTTTTGAAGGTTCTGAAATTTTTCATGCTTATTGTGGTTCATAGATTACAAAGAATAATGCTAGTTAAATKCCAATGAACTATTTTTACTCTTTTTATATTTCTGGGGGTGATGGTGGCAGTGGTGCCTCTTATTACCTTATGTAAAACACTTGAACATTTTCATCAATATTGCCATCATCTGTGTAACACTCCCAGTATATTTTCTCAAAGCCTGTTTACTTAAAAATGTGTGGAATGACATAACTAATAAGCAATAAAGTCTGAGTTACAATGACTTTCCTACATGTTTTATTTCACATTACTTCAGAGAGAATTGTTGGTTTTATAAATCTCTGTAGCTTTCACATTACTTCAGAGAGAATTGTTGGTTTTATAAATCTCTGTAGCATTATGGTACGAGATAAACCCTCTATTGGAAATTGTGCAAATTGTTGAATTAAAAAATATTTTTCAGGCTGAGGTTGCAGCTTACTAGTAAAGCACTTACCTAGCACGCACAAGGCACTAAGTTTAATCCCATTACTACAAAAAAGGTTTTCAAATGAACTCGGAAGAAAGTTTTACCCATAGTCAAAAAAAAAGGGGGGGGGGGAGTTGCAAACTGCAGGTTAAGGACAACTTTAATTTTCACAGCCTCAGAGTCTCAAATGAAGCGATGAAGTCCAGGATCAGCCCAAGGTAAGGAGTCCCACATAAAATGGCACATGTATATTCACAAACACTGACTGTGCTGTGGCTGAGTCCCATCTCCCTGTGAAGGTCAAAGAAGGAATTCCTACCTGGAACTCTAGTTCTAGATGGAGAGGTAAAATATAAGTATACATATACATATATACTCCTCTGAAAATTTGTACTCAAAAGTTACTTCATACATGGATTTCAGACCAAATTCTTCCCCATGTGGGTGCTCTCAAAGCACTAACAACAACAACAACAAAAAAAAAACCTTAAGCCAAGATTTTACTTTAAAGTAATATCAACTGGCACACACAAAAAAAACCCCACATATCTTCTCTTGAAAAAGAACCCACCTTCAACCCCAAGAAGTACCATACAGGCACTCACTCAAAATCATATAATTCACAAGCAAGGCAGCATGAGAGCCTGGGGAGCAACATAAAAACAAACTACAGATGAATCAGAGCCTAAAGTATATAGTAATATTATCAGATCCTTAAACATTTTAAGTAAGGAACAAGAAACTATTAAAAGTCACTAAGCATATTAGAAAAAGAACAGGACTTAGCAAAATGAAAAATAGGATAATTGAAATTTAAGTTACAGGTGAAGACAAGTACTGCTTACATGAATTTTGCATATATGAAGAGCTGAAGAGACCAACCTAAGAGGCAATGCCAGAATAAATAAATAATAGTTTTAATTTCTTACTGATAAGAACCAAAAATGAAATTGATTTCATGTTCCCACCATTTCTAGAGGAATCATTTCCTTGCTGAGTTTTCTGTGTAAATCTAACTTCTAAAATAAATTGTTTAATAGGCTGATGATGGTGATAAAATAGACAGGAAACCTTTCCACCCCTGCCCACTTTCCTTTTGTTACTGCTGGCCTCTGGGAGGTAGAAAGTTATCTTACGTGTTTTTCTGCAGCCTTCTTGGGCTATATGTCCTTTTCAATACCTTTCTCGAAGGTTGGGCCTACTAGGAAACTACTGATATTTTAAGCAACAAATTATAGCTAAACTCTTTTCTTTCTCCTTTCATTAATAAAAGGGATTGCAACTTAGAAAAGGAGGACACTGTCCACGGGGCAGGGGAGATGCAAATAAACAACATTTTGCTTCATATTAGGTGATGAGAAATTTACCTTGGGGCTGATGATGTAACTCAGTGAAGTCCCAGGTTCAATCCCTGCACCCAAAAACAAAAATTCAGAAGGAAAAAATTAACCTTGAAAGTTGTAATATGAGTTTGTAGAGTACAGGAGACAAGGAGAAGGAGGTTGGTGAGCCTTAACTGTACCTAGATTGAAGATTTTAGGTACTCTAGTACTTAATTCTGCTCCTGTATGGTGAAACTGAATGGCATGTGTTTGTGGGGTTTTTTTGTTTTGTTTTGTTTTTTAAATATTTATTTTTTAGTTGTAGATGGACATAATACCTTTATTTTATTTATTTATATGTGGTGCTAAGGATCGAACCCAGGGCCTTGGACCTGCTAGGTGAGTGTTTTACCACTGAGCCACAACCCCAGTCCCACGTATTTGTTTTTACAGAGGACAATAGGCATTCTGAGTCCCTTGTGATCAGTCTCTCTTGTGAAGGAAGACAATTAAACTTGGACCCCTGTAGCCTGCGGAGATTTTCATCTCTCTGAAGCTCCTTCAGTGAAAGCACACACTTTAAATACTGCATTCTTTTCACTATTTTGTATTCTTAAAAATGATGTTTTTCCAAATGTCTACCCAGTAGTATGATTTTTTTTTTAACATTAAAGTGAAATTAAAAACTTGAACAACCCTGCACACACAGTTTCTGTTTTTTGAAGATTACTAAATCTGAAATTTTTCAGTTGCCATTCACTCAAAAGCCAAATACTCCTTACCTTCCAGGGGCAGCTCAAAAGTTGAATTTTGAATTGATAGATGTTAGTTCTTTTGTTTAAAATCCCCATGAAACTGAGACACCATGGAGTTTGGGGGTTATAAGAATGTCCATCTGGGGGCTGGGGATGAGGCTCAAGTGGTAGCGCGCTCGCCTGGGTTCGATCCTCAGCACCACATACAAAGATGTTGTGTCCGCCGAAAACTAAAAAAAAAATAAATATTAAAAAATTCTCTCTCTCTCTCTCTCTCTCTCTCTCTCTCTCTCTCTCTCTCTCTCTTTAAAAAAAAAAAAAAAAACATGTCTATCTGCTAAAAAGAAAATGCCTTATTCCCACAACATGCTGACAAGTGCCATCTGTTCAATTTGTCTGTGAGTTTCTATGTCAGTCTCATAAGTTTTAAAAATTCCTTAAGTTTTTATTAAAGTCATAGTCATAGTTTTAGAGGTCAAGTAGTTCCACAAGGGTTTTTAGTGTAAAAATATTCTCTTCCCTGCCACACCCCTCTTATCCCAATTTGCACCCAGGTAAGTAACTACTTTCAGCTGATTTTTGCTTAGACTTATCCATCAGACCCTGGAAGGTCACCTACTGCTGGGTGTGACCTCATCTGCCAGTGTTCCTGTCTGGTAGCCTTTGTTCTGGCTGTTTTCTATTTATGAAATATTGCTCCTGATAACCATGTGGTTAACACCTCCAGATCTTGGTCTTTGTTTTTCACTACAAGGTAGAAAATCTTGCAGAGTTTTGAGCAGAGCAGTGAGGCCATCTGACTTACGTCTACATGGTTTATTCTGCCTTCCATGTTGGGAATAGACTGAAGCAAGAGGAAAGGCAGGGAGGTCAGTTATGAAGGAAGTGGGTGAAAGATGATGTTAGCTTGACAAGAGTGAGAGGTGGAGTGGGAGAGAAGTGGTCATTTTCTGGACATAAACTGAAGAAAAGGCCACAGGATTTGCTTATGGATCAGACTGAAGGCCTCAAGGATGACTCCAGTGTTTTTAGCCAAAGCAACTGAAAAAAACAACTGATAAAGACATTAATTCTCCTTAAATTATCCCATAAGTTTAAGGTAACCTCAGTAAAATTGCAACTGGATTTTTAAGAGAAGGAAGACCTGATTCCAGAGTTCTTAAGCAAAATGAAGTATACCACAATAGCCAGGAAAAGTACTGAAAAAGAAGGGTTATGAGGTATCTCTTCCTTTTTATAAAGCATATTTCTAGCAGCGAGAATTAAAGTGATATGGTGCTGGTGCCTGCTCAGATCAATGAAATAGAATAGAACTCAGAAATAGACCTAAATATGTATGGGAATTTAATAGATATCTCTGTAGGAAATACTTATTAAAGAAGTGCTGTAGGCTTACTGGATAGCCACCAAGGTGAAAAAGAAAGAATGAAAGATACTCCTGTCTCACACTTGATGTCAGTAATTTCCAGAGGGATGAAAAAAACTGAATAGAACATGTTGGAGATTTCTTAAATGTATGGTTTAATAGTGACACAAAACGGGGAAGCCTTAAATACCAACTAGATTTGATGACATTTAAAACAAAAAAGTAAAAAAAAAAATTGTACATGGAAAAGTGTGCATAAACAGCAAACTAGGAAAAAGTACTTTCAATGTACACATATGTAAAAAGCCCATAGATATTAAGAAAACTAAGCAAAGTGTCAGTTGCATACAAATGACTTAAATGAAAAGAAAGGCATCACATCATATGAGAAATTAAAATTGCATCAAAATTCCACTTTGTTCGCATGAGAATGGCCAAGACTGAATAGTTTGGTGGCATCATTTTTGAAGATGGCAAACAGGTTCTCCCTTACAGAGCTTCTCATAGTGTAAATTGATGCAACCTTTATGAAGGCAAATTTAGCAATATATGCCAAAATCATAAAGGCTTTTGGTTTAGAAATCCCATCTCTATGAATTGTTCCCACTTCTATGGTTGTCTGTGTGTAAAATGATCCATGTACAGAGTTAGTGTCTTGTTTCCCAACTTGGCCATAATTATCAGTAGTTTTAGGTATATTTCAGGTGAAAGGGCCCAGATTAGCTCCAGGATCAAAGCAAGGCTATGTGGTGGAGTTTAAAGAACATCTGCAGCAGAGTAAGCCAGAACATATTACAAGGTATGCCCTGCCACATTTACTTGTGTGAATTTAAGAAAACAATATCACTCAGCCTTTGCTCACCCAAAAGGAGAGAGACTGGCCTGTTACTGCTTGCTATAAAAGGTGCTGAGTCTCGCCAGGCATGCTGACACAGGCCTGTAATCCCAGCAATGTAGTAAACTGAAGCAGGAGGATCATAAATTCAAGGCCAGCCTGAGCAATTTAGCAAGATTCTGTCACAAAATAAAAAATAGAAAGGACTGGGGATGTAGCTCAGTGGTGGAGTTTCTCTGGGTTCAATCCCCAGTACTTAAAAAAAAAAAAAGTGTTGAGTCCTTTACCCTGGGTTCCTGTATATATCTGCACCATCCCATGGGGCTCCGGGGACTGGCTCTATCATACTAGGCTGCTGTCGTTTGCTGTGCTGAGAGTAATAGACTGTCTTACTCTGTCCACTTAGTCTCATTCCTGTGAGCAGCTATGGCATTGTGGCAGGTCAATTTGCTTGTGTGCCCTGTCATCTCCATTGGAGTCTTGTGATTTCTTGCTATCCTCTGTGAGGCTGGATTCTTCCTGTGACAGGAATAATA